AATTTTTTTTTTTTTTTTTTTTTTTTTTTTTTGGCAACATTAATTTTACTGCAACGTTTTTTTGTATCGCCTTAATATCAAATTTAAAATTTGCACCTGTTACAGCTCAATACCGATCTTTTGTTATTGTTGTTGTTGTTGCTGTTGTTTATATGTAATTTTACAAATGAACTGTTTACTTGTATAAATAATTGAAAGTATTTCAGTAAGATTTTTTTTCTAAGTTTGTTGAAAGGTTATTTTTTAGTATGTGTGTGTGCATTTAAAAGATATTAGTGGTTAGACCCCCTCTCTCAAAAAAAAAATTTCGAAAAGGTAATTGTAATAGCAAATATAAGCTCACAAATATTTGTATTTAATGGATAGATAGTTGGCATCCTAAAGAAGTTGCAAACTGATTGCTTTTTTTTTTCTATTTCTTTTCCAAAAGTTTATTTCAGTGTAGATTGAAAAAGAAAAGCTGAACCACACAGAAAGTAATATAAGTGAAGGCATTACGTATCGATCTGAACTGCTCTGCTATACATTTGAATGCAGGTATGTAGGTAGTATGTACGTATGTATGTATGTATGTGTGTGTTGCGTGTATAAATGTATGAATATAAACATCATCATATGTCTCCATGTTTTCTAGAGCTCATGAAAAGTTTAGTTTTTTTTTTTTGTCAACCGCAATAATTAGGACACTGAAAGATGAACAGTAGAAAAAAGTTGATGATTTCTATAGATAACAGGAAGATATATGAAAGATACACGTGTTAGCAACAGAATATATCTCACATCCGTTTTGTTAAATTGTTTGGAGCTCTTTTTACTACACATTTTTATGACGTTTTAGACAGTGGCAATGAAATGTTTATTTTTCTCCCGTCTCCTTAAAATTTACCACAATTCTGATTTATACACACCGATTAAGTGTAAAGATTCCTGAACATTAAAGGTATTAAAGATATTTTAGTTGGCAATAAATTAAAGTAATCGACAGTCTAAAAACCAACGATTGGTTATGGTTAACAAAAAAAATCTATTTCTTTGTTAGGAACAGGAAAAGGGTAGCTTATAAAAAGTGGGATAAAACAGGAGTTGGTTATTTGGCCACTAAAA